AGCCTCATCCTGGGTTGAGACCACTCATTTGTTTGTTTTGTTTTTTTTCATTCAAACACTTTTTTTATTTTTTAAAGATGAAACCCCCCCGACCACTTTCTTCCTCCTCATCAACATGTCACCTTCTGTCCCTCTTCACTTGCACTCATGCTGCCACATCCCCAGACCCCTCCCTCCCACCCCTCTCGTCCTCACCTTCCACCCTCAAACCTTTTGTTTTGATCCTTTTTTCTATTAAAAGAAGAAAATGTTGACAAAAGCACTTTATGTATTCCCCCTCTCCTTCCATTTCAGCCCATCCTGTAGTGCATCGCGCCTGCTGGGAAAGGCATGACTTTTAGCTTGGCTCTCATTCTTCCCTGTTGTAAATGGTAAAGGCAAAAAAATAATAAAAAAGATTTGATGCGTGGATTTCTAAATACAATAAAGATTGATATGAATTTGCTGTGAATGATTCTTCTTCTTTTTCACGTATTAGTGTTTAATATAAAAATGAAGGTACAGAATATTCTTCTTTTCCTTGTGCATAAATGGTGCTGGACATTATTTATCTACCCTGAGATGGAGTCTGAAGATTGCGGCGGCTGAGAGCAGACACAGGCTCTTTGACTGGAAAGCTGCCCGGCCAAAGTAATCACTAACGCTGCTGCCAATTCTGCTAAAAGAGAAACTGCCCAATCGTTTCATGACATCATGCAATGGTTATTTGGCTCTTTTTACACCCTTTCTGATTTAATGTAGGTGACGCAGTTTGTTCAAACTCAAAGTCAGGATTTTCTTTTAAACAAAACTCAGGTTCAAAAGGTGAAACAGGAGTCATGCACGATATTATCTTTAAAAGCACGCCAACAGATTGCTTTATTATTTGGAAGTCTTAATCTGAGGAGCAGACGAGGGCTGCTGTAGTACTTCAGTGGTTCTTAACCAGTTCCTGCTGGTTTGTGGCTTCCTCTATGCAAGGAGGTTATGTTGTCGTTTGTATGTGTTTGTTTGCAGGATTATGCAAAACCCATACAGTGGATTTCCATTATATCCTGAGAAGGGGTGGGGCGTGACCCAAGGAGGAACCATTACATTTTGGTGCAGATCTGAATTTTTCACTTTCTTTAACATTGCGAGACACAGACCTTCTCAACATTTTAATTTATTTCTCATATAATTGATCTTGATGACAAAAACAAATCAGGCATGTTTAGGGGAATGATATTAATGTGTGTGTACAGTTTGGTGCAGATGATTAAATGTAAGGAGATTGTTGGGCCTGAGCAGAGGTGTGTGCTCTACTCCACTTATTCTAGTTTTCACGCTGTGCTCACACTGTTTTAAACCTAATTTTATCCCGAGAATATATTTTGTAAGCACCTCAGGACAGTAAAACAGCTACAAGACCTCAATCAAAAGTCAGAAATGAATCAAAGTTACTGTCAGACTAGTTTCAGTGGTTCTCTTTGTCTGCTGAGCTGTAACTGACGCTCCTTCAGAGCCAAACCCTGAGCAGCCTGTGAGGAGCAGCCTGTGAGGAGCAGCCTGTGAGGAGCAGNTAATAATAAAAATGAATGTATGACATTGTAACCTAAATGAAGTAAACATAGTAAAATAGCGGTTGGCTGCGGCTTGAAAGACAATACTCCAATGCTGGAATCTGACTGCACAATGTTTTTGTGGTCTGAAGATGGCCACTCTAATAGAGTTGGTCATCATGAGAGTTCCTGTTGCGACTACTGGTTGGCCCCCGAAACTTTTATAGCTTGCTGTTTCGGATAAACCAGTCATTAATGTTTCAATTTTTCAAAATTCCACATCGCTATCACTCTCCTAACGTGACAGTTTGCTCTGCTGTGTTTTCAGCTGTGCAGGGAATGACATGCTATTCCTTTGCTGTCACATTGAGGGATGTGTCCCAGATGCTGCATTAGACTTTAAGTCTGAGTCTGACTTGGTCATTATTAGGATAATAATGTGTGGTCTAATCCCGGCATAGCTGACAGTCTACGACTTGTTGTATGACAGCCTATCTAGTAAGGAATTATGGGTCTTTAAATCTTACAGTGTTGAAGGAATTTTCATTTTCAAAAAAAGCATCTCATTTCTTTGCAGGTTGCTCGGTGTAAACCAGTGTTTCATAGTTGGCTATTGTTCCCCTCCATAGCTTGTGAAATGCATTTCAGCCACTGGCCCTGGATTACAAAAGCAAGGTCATGTTGCTTTTTATATGGGTCTAATAAATCTTGAGTCCAAGTGCACGCAATCAGAGCGTTAGCCTATATAAAACATCTTGGTTAGATAAAGAAAACACTTGGTAAGCCCAGGCCTAATTGTCTAGCACATGGCTGTGTGTTAGGATGTTTGCACACGTGTTTTCAAATCATATGTTCGCATGTGTGTTGCAGATCACAAACTGGCACAAGGAGCACTAGAGCTAAAAGATAGCAGTCTGTTGGTGGAGTATCAACAGAGCCACAGGATGGATTGTTCCCTGATTCTGAGATTCACACTATTTCTTTAATGTTGTTGGGGATCTAAAAAGTCCCTGGCCCGTGAGGATGATTTGTGATAATAGCCTTGGAATCTTTCTTTTGTTGAAATCCCAGATCAAGCCCTGGCAGTAAATTTATTTCTGAGAAACAATCTGGAGCAAACAGATGTAATTAGTTTATTCAATTTAAATCTTATCCCAAAAAACAAACACTCCCTATAAAAGACTCGATTTTATCCCCCACACTCATCTACTCTGCTGCAGTATTATACAGGGTAACAGTAGTCTGCACTCATTATTTTGAATGACTGCACAGTGTTGTGAGTGAGCCAAAAGGGACTGGATGTAGTCTCCCAACTGAGGCCTCCACACATCAACACTTATGTGAAGGGGAAACAGGGAGACAAGCGTTTCAGCTCTCCAAGTATCATATCTGTGCCAGTGTGCAGATTTCAGTATCTGAGCACAATAGGCTTACCATCCTTGATATTCTCTTCTCCGTCTGTTCTAAAAACCACCATTTTACCCCTGCAACAACTCCAACCTCTTAAGCAACTGGGTCCTACTGTGACCTGCTTTGCTGTGTGACACATCCCCATTCCGGTGGCTAACATTGTTAGCTGCCCAGGCTTCACTGACCTAAAGATGTTAGCAATGGCTGACAGGCCTTGCAGGAGACGGTAAGCTGAAGGTGGTGTAGATGCAAGGGGGAAACCGTTTTGCCAAACAGCCAGGCCTGTCAGCTCAGTGTAAACGATGAGACAGAAGAGAATATCTAGTAGAAAAGGAGTGGAGCCAAATAAAAGAAAATAAGTATCTACTTAAAGTGAGGTAAAGACGGATGGCTGTGGGTCTCAGCTGCTCTAGGAAGCCTGTTTACTTCCTCCTCATAACACAATGTGCCTCCAAAATATGATCAACCCTGGGCAACAATGCAAACTACATAAAAAGCACATCATGGGATTTGACCTGTCCTGACGCGAGCTCTTCCTTCCATCCACCTGCTGTGCATTTCCACAGAGATTCTCCCATCGAGATCCGTCTGTGCTTGGCCTCTGACTTGTTTCAGTCATGTATAGGAATTCATGTTTAAACAAGACTAAAGAAGGTGACTGGATGAAGGGGGGAAAAAAAAGCTACACACCCCAGAGATTCACTCATCCACCATATTTTTTTTCCACTACTGTCACTCTTCATTTTCACATACTAATGGGCAACACTCAATCAACATACCTTCAGTTAAAGAAAAGGAAAAAAAAATGGGTAATGGAATAAACAGTGCAGGTAATTACTTCTATACGGTAAAGTGGTCCAATAGGTACAATAGCAAATAACACTGATTTCAACTGAAGGTACAATGAGTTTGATTGATACAGTGTAATGTGATTTGAACACTATCAAAAAGTAGTACCAACACACAGAGTACAAAACTAGTCCTTATATGCCCAGCTCCACTCAAGCTATATTATGTTATGCAAGAAAGTTTTACCATATCCCCAGCCCCTCCCATTCCTGTCCCCAGTTCCAGCCCACAACGTCCACAACCCGGAGCTGCATTTCCCGCGGTCCTGTGAGGGTGTGTGTTTTCCTGTAATCCAATCAGGAGATCCGTCTGAAATTACTCCAATGCAAGGGAGAGGGTGAAAATTATTCTTAATAATGACATAATCAGCAGAGCAGCCATCAAGCAGATAAATTGTCATGCGCATCGTGCTAAAATATCCAATTATCCTTTGTCCCTCAGCTCTCGGTGTTGAAGTTGGAACTGCCAGAAAGCCAGTAGGTGGATCCCCACGCCCCACTGGCTCAGTCAGATGCCCCCCCCCAAAAGAGAAGAGGGCCTTGGTGCTTAGTGTACAGATCTAGATATGTAAATAGGTTCTATACAATAAAGTTGTTCCCGATCCTCAAAAATAAATGGATGAAAAGTATCAGTGACATTTTTTTTCCTCAAAATGATTCCATTGTGCATACAGGGTTTCATATTTCCTTGTTATGTTCAGTCCTTCATTCGTTCCTTTCAACAATTGTTTTTGTCTTATCTTACATAGCCTCCATTTATGAAGTTAACACATGCCTAAATTGGTTTGCGTGGCATCTACTGTGTGCCTCACCAACAGAGTAATCTGCAGTGCGGCGCCAAAGGAAAACAATATGTTTTCTTTCTTTTACAAAGTGCTCTTCTCACCTCCGAGGCGCCTCTGATGCCCTGCTCTGCTCCCAGATAATACTGTCAAGCAGTAATTTGTCAAAAGATCCCGAAGGCCATATCTGTCACTAGAAAGAAAAAATACTTGACTGTACCTTGTTTTGCTGCAATATCAGAACAAAAATAATAATATTAACAATAAAAAAAATCATCCTTTTGTGAGGTTGTTTTTCTTCAACTCCTTATTTGTACTGTTTTCTTCTTGTCTTTTATTTTTCTACAAAAACATAATTATTCTTTTTTTTTTTCTTCTGGTCCAAATCCCCAGAAATCCCATAACTATATTCCCTCAGGTATTAACAGGGCGTCGTACAATCCCACTGTAAATCCATGGGTGTCTAGCGACTCCAGGCTGGCATTTCAGCTCCTGACATATCTGTTTGTCACCTTGTTGGCCTAAAGTCTCTGCTGTAGGAGCAGCAGCCGCATTTGCTTCTTGCCTCAGCCATCAGAGTCCTACCTGCGTGGGTACATCCACAGGGCTATACCCGGGTCGTAGAGTGTGAGTGTGGGTGGGGCAGGGTGTTATTCTGCCCGCTGCTTGGGAAGGTGTTGAAAGAGTGGAGCGAGGTAAGCCCCCCCATGGTGCTGGGGATCATGGTTATGGTGTTTGGCGTCATGAGCGGGATGTCGTCCGGTGAGCGCCTCATGGCCAGAGTGTAGTCCGGCGGGCAGGCAGTCCTCAGCACCACATCGTGCGGGTGCAGGGTGTCGCCCACTCCCCTGCAGTCCCGGTCCAGGTCAGAGTGCTGCTTCATCTGCAGGGACATGATCTCCTCCTCCTGAGTGTGGGCTAGGTCATTGGCTGCATTACGCTGGGGGCTGCAACGCCTATGAACATCATGCCGACGCTTGTCCTTCTTGTAGTATAACGCGGCAAAGGCCAGAATGTTGAGGAAGAGTAGGGAGGCTCCCACTGCGATGGTCACTGATAGCTCAGTGGAGTAATCGCGCTGGTCCACCAGGTGTGGCTGGTTGCGGCTGTCCTGGGTCTCAGTGGGGAACGGAGTTGGGTTAGGGCGCTTGGTCACCAGAACCTTGGTCTTTGGCGTACGGTTGGTAACCTCTGGTGGAGGGATCTGAAGACAGCAATAACAACTTATAGAATTATCAACATTAACATTTTAATCAGATTTACATTACTCAGATTTACCCAAAAAAGCTTTGCAGAGATAATAGAGGTGCAGTATGGGTATTATAGTCACGCTTCTCAAACTAAACAAATAAGCAAAGTTCGCTCTGTTTGGAGATTTTTGATTCTTTTCTCCCTCTTAGAATCATGCCCTTGGTTTGGTCATCCTATCATATATAGAGCTACACTAAAACTACCTGGTGACGCCTGTAGTTGATTTTTATAGGCAGAAGGAGATAAATTACTACCAACCTTGGTGGTGGTGGGAATGAGCTGAGTGACCTCGTTGAGACTGTGCAGATGAGGAACCAGCTCCAACCACAAGTTGACCTGTGGAGACAAAAGGAAATAGTGTAGTGACGTAGGAGAGAAAATGGAGATCCCTTTGGATTACCATTTTTATACAGAGTTCAACTGTGTTCACTGAACATAAGTGACACTGGATAATTGGTATCACATAGTTATCTGTTAGTATTGCCTTTCCTATGCAGTCCATTCTCATGGCAGTGGGAGAATCACACATGTCATCATCAGATGGATATGAAAGACTTTTAATAATCATGACCTGAGTATTTAATTTGATATAAGGTGAAATCCATGGGCAACATCTCATATCAGCAGCAGAAAGTGATGTGAACTTATGACTTTCTGCAGAAACAGAAGCAAGACTCATTTTGTTCCAAAAAACTAGAGAAGAAAACTATAAGCAGCATAAATAACAAAGGTAAAATGTATCTGGAATGAAATGTTGCATTTATAATTACTGGCAGATAATTGTTTTGATGACTAAAGATGTAATATTGTGTTATTACATTAAATATTTATAACTATCTAGCTACTGATGGTGCTTAATTATAAAATGTTTACTCTAAAGCAGACTGCAGCAGCACATATTACTATGCAGCTCAGATATTGGTGAGCCAAACAGAAATTGCTTGCATTGGTATCTGACTGTACCTTATTGGCGCGGTAGTGCTCTTTGACCCGGGGCTTCAGGCCAATATGCAGGTAGAGCTGATCTTTCTGGTTGTAGCGTGTCCATGCCACTTCTTCAAAGCGATTGGGCTTGGTGTGGATGAACTTGGTGTCCTGAGGGACAGGCTGGTTTGGGTCCCTGAGCAGAGTAAAGGGGGAAATAGTTTTTCCATTAAAGAAATTCCAACAGACAGTGGTGATCTGTTAAGAGTTTCACGGAGGAATGATACACAAGCACATTGGAAACAACAAAATTATAGACTTGTTGCCTCGCACGGACAACAGAACAGTAATATTTATGGCATCTAGTAGTTGTTTACTTTAGGGGATAGGAAGGGGAATAGCTAAAATAAAACTGGAGTGGACCTTTTGAGGTATGACTGTGTGGTTATTAAAATTTAGATTATGACCTAAGTGAAGCGTCTCCCTCGGGCTAATCAGTGTAATTATGAAAATACTGAATTGCAGTGGTGAGATGCAGCCCCAAGGTTTCATCAAATTTTAATAAACAGCTTCTGAGGTATCACACCTTATAAAATCATAAAAAGGTCAAAGGGGGTATTTATGTTCATGGATGATTGGTTTTGTAAAGATTCTGACTGAATTAAAAGATCTCAAAATAATGAATACCTTCAGAAGTTTTATCTAAAGTGTACAACACGCAATGCATACATGTATCATTAGAAGTGAACCTGTTATATAATAATATACTTTATATTTAATTTATACATGAAGCCAAAGAATATGTTCAGTCCCAGCACGCTGATCATTTCCATAAACTATGTTTCAGTAGTTGCTCTAAATTAAACTGAGAACTCTTATTTTAATATTATTTTCCACCTGTTTTGATGAACATAAGAATGCAGCAAACATCACAGGGCACTGTGTAGATGCAGGTCAAACCCGTATGAACCCCATTTTTAAATCCAGAGGAGCCTCATGAGCATATTCAGCATGGGACCCCGTGTTAAATAGATCCACTTACACTTAATCCCAGCAGAACAGAGCCAGCCATGTGAGGTATAGAAGACCATTCAGACCCACAGAGCGCCCCATTGTCTGAGAGCAGCATATGGAGCCAGTCAGACCTCATCAGGAACACTCTTAACCATTCAAATTGATGGCATAAATCTCCCAGGTACGAGGCATTCCACGTCAATTTGGGGTTATATATGTGGATCATTAGTGCCTTTCTGTTCCCCTCAGGGCCACTGGGTAGTGCACAGAAAGCCAGTGTCCTCCCATTGCACTCTCAAAAAAACAATTACCGCCATGACTGTATGCTGAAAGGCAACATGGGACAGAGGAGAGGGGATAGGAAGGGTTTTAATTTTGTCCCATTGAGAATGTTCCTCCTCAGGCGAAGACCATTAATTAAGAATGCATTTGAGGACATGTAAGGGGTATCTGCATAGAATACAGATTACACTGTACAGTCCATAAAACGATGATGGCACAATTCACTGATCCTGGTCATCAAATGAGAGGAAACACAATTACAATAAAATTATCTATTATATAGTTTGTGGTCTTATAATATTAGCTTGTTGCTGCTTTGAGCATGACAGCAGAAAGACAATATCCACAAAATCATGGATTAAACAACCTTTTGGCTGATCTTGGTATGCTGAAGCCTGTACATTAGGTTTCTCTATTGGAAATGACTGGACATCTGAATCAAGGAGGATCTGGTACATGCAATTACAATGTTATTGTGATGAAGGTTAAAGTGTACGGGAAGTTCTTGTATGATTAATGCATTATTGTGTATCATATATTAGCATGAGAAAAAGAGGATGAGTCATGGGACAGTAAAGAACAAATATTTAAAGGCTGTGTAAAAGTTGATCTCAGTCTCTTTATCTCAGCACCTGTGAGCATACAGTCAGATTGAATGGCAGTTACATCTAGAAAGTGACTTGACTTGGCCCTTAGGAGCCACATTTGTTGTGCTGTCATACCCCGTCTTGGCAAAGTTCGTCCAGTAGGTCATGACCACGGCACTGAGCATCACGTCGTTTTTGGAGAAGTTGCAGGGAAACAGCTCGGTCGGCCCAATCATCGGCAAGCCAAACACATACGGGATCTCATCTCCGTGTGCTGCGTCTGCCCACGGTGGTACCTGAGGGGCAGCACAAGAATCAAATCAGATCAGTTTTATTACATTATTACAATTGTGATGAGATGAGATGCACGCACACACACACACACACACACACACAAACACACAGAGATATCAAAGAAAATAGGAAAATGCAATACCTTTTGGTAGAGAAGGGGAAATTAGATAAGTTTTCAAAAGTATTTTTCCTGCCATATCTGGTCCATTACTCAGTGTGTTTTTGTGAGGTAAAAGAATATTGAAAGCAGAGGGACTGACAGAGGAAGATGGCTTTGAGCTGATATTTTTGAATGCAGATTTACAGTACATGTCATTAGCTCCAGCCTGTTGAATGGAAATATATGCCAAAAGAAAATGTGGGGATTTAAATCAAAACTCCTTACTTGCCTTTAGGTCCTGATAATTAGTCAGTGGACTTATAACAGTAAAACATAGAGTAGAGAGTTTGGAATTCACTTCCTCGGCTGCCAACTAGTCAGTCATAATAATATAATTGGAATGAAAAACAGTGTTTTGCGCCACAAGGCTCTGTCTCTTTTACTGTAAGGCAAACTGTCAGCATGTCACTAAGCGATGAAGTTTTGTACTTTAAAACAATCTGAAACAGTCTTCTTCCCAAATATGTTGAAAAGTAACTCATTCTAAAAGTTTGTGTGGAGCCCACTCTGGCTGACTGCCTCTCAATAATGCTCTTGTTGGATTGCATTTAATTACAGAATGAATTGCTACTGCTTCTGGGTGTAAATCGCCTCACAGTGTGAATAAACAGAGCACAATGCAAACTTTAGAGGTATTTAATTAGCTTAGAGGGGCTAACAAAGCTCAGTCAATTGTTTTGCAAACTTGACACAACCATCAGTGATCACAGAACCAGACCTATATGAAGCAAGCAACTCCGAGATGTGGGTGGGGAATCGGAAGATGGGATCCAGACTTGGCAGCAGGAGTTCACACAGTGATTAATGCATAATTCTACAAGGGGTGTTTGCATCTACAAACATAGAACATCTCTGTTTGATGTCAGATTATAGTTGTGTATTTTTTTGTCTCTTTGACGCAACAGAGCTGAAGAACAACTAAATCTTGCGAATTTGCAACTACTTAACGACTACTTCTTTCATATAATTGACGATTCATGAAGATAATGTATCATTTCAATCTGAGTCCTACCTGTTCTGTCTGACAGTGATGGTAGAAGGCGTAGAAATATGTTGGTGACCCAAAGCTGGAATGCAGGTCAGCCGTGGCAACAGCTGGCGCCACCCACTGGTGATCAGTGAACAGGGCCAGCAGTGTCTTGCGGCGAGTCTCTGGGTTGTGCCTGTCAGCCCAGTCGGTGTACATGAACTTGATGGTCTCCCGTAGGATATCTTTACCCTCTGGGTAGCCATAGAGGTCATCCACAAAACTGGACACGGCGTAGTCAAAGTCATTAGCCTGGACGCCATTTTCATTATCCACGATAAGCTCCACAAACTTGAGGCCCTCGCCCTGGTTCACTCCCAGCATAATATCATAGTTAAGGAATTCACCTGAAAAAGAGTGTGTGGAGGATATAAATTAAAGGTGAGAACAGAATTGGAATTGCTGGCTCTAAATGCAAGGTGAATTGGTACCTTGCTCCATGAGTATCTGAGGGTCATCAGGTATAACGTCTCCATCGATAACTGGCCCAAAGGCGATGTGGTAGCGGGCTGGTTGGATGTCTTGATCTACCAGCTCCTTGTAATGTTTTCTCTGCAGGCAACTCACAAGCTCCACTGTGTCCTCCAGGTTACAGCCCACCTTACGGGCCAACATCCGGGCATATTTCGCTGGCTGAAAACTGACGGCCCAGCTGGACAAGGCTGTGCCGCTCTGGGCGATGGCCCTCTGGAACAGGCCTGGAGATGAGGAAAGTAGAGGGATGGGGAGGAAAAATAAAATCATGATTTGAAAAAAGTGATGATTCAAGAACATTGTGCAGGGAAAAGGCACGTACAATGTAACGGCATCAATGTTGGCACAGAGATACACATACTGACATGACTGCAACTGAATAAATAAACTGAGAACCATGCAGACTGAGATTAAGCACAGTGAAGTAGGCTAAAATGACCTGAATCTCTAAATACCACGTCAGATATAAATATAGAGTAAATATACTAATCACACTAAATATCATATCTGAATGATCTGTTTGAATATGCAGTTACAGTCACAAGAATTTAATTACATGATACATTTGATATAAAGTCCAAAAACAACAACAAATGTGCCAGACGTTCCTATTGTTGCGATCTTAACAAAATCATGTGATCTCCGCAGCAGAATTATTACGTTATGTCTGCTGCTCCACCCCTCGTCTGAATCCTGCAAAGTATTTGCTATTGTTGTGAACGCATCTGAGCAGAGAACCTCCCGCTGCATTGCCTGGACCCAATTCTACCGAGATCCTCTGCTGGACTTGTAAGAAAAACGGCTTTAAAAAGGAAAACAATACTTTCTAAATTATTTATTACTGTTAACAACGATCATTATTTTTTTTCTGCAAGTTATTATATAATGTGTGAATCTGTGGTTCAGAAAAAGGGAGAGACATTTACAACAGTGAAGAAGACACAGGAGGGTCCCCTCTAACATTGTACTTAACAATGACTCATAAAACAATCCACAGCCAGTATTGGTGTGTGTATTGACATTGTGTCATGAAGACAAACAGCCAGTATTGGTCTGACAACAGACAGCAGTCTAGCATGTCAACTTGCATGTATGTCTGTGTGAGAGGTTTACTAAAGCTTAGGTCAGCTGTTTCTTTTCCGCTTATCCACCTATTACGTTGTTGAGTCATGGTTAATTATTGAAATCATATTTTTTACTGATATTTTTTCCCGTTTGTTGTGAAGAAAATATATTACCATTCTGCAACTCATTTTCTTTTTTTCCTCCAACTGACCTTATCCTACTAGAGCTACTACTACACCTGACTCAGCAAAGCATCCTGTAGGGCAGTCCTTTCATTTTTTAATATATTTTTTCATGTTTGTATGTAATGTCTCTCTCTGCATGTAAAAAAAAAGATTATAATCCATCCAAACAGATGCATTCACACCAAACATGCTTGGAGCAGTTTGTTTCACCTCTGCAGTGTTTTCTCTTTCGCAGTGTAAAGTGTAACAGAAACAGTTAAATACAGGAACAGCAGTTTCTCTCTACAGAAGAATAAAAGGGCCAATTCAAAACACAAAATCACACATTTAAACACACATGTAGCCAAATTGATTGAATCTATTTTGAGTTTACCAAGAGCCCACATCAGTCACATCCCCTTCAGTACTGCACACAGACTTAAATATACAGCACATGAAGATCCCATGAGACTTCACTGGTGACTGGGATTTTTTACCTTTGGTGGAGTTGCTCCACCGGTTGCCCTCCGAGTAGTGAGACAATGTGAGCAGGTTGACACAGGAAGCTCCAGCGCCTGAGCCAAACACGGTGATCCGTAACGGATCGCCGCCAAAGGCTGCAATGTTCTCACTCGTCCAACGCAGAGCCTGGATCTGGTCCAGCAAACCATAATTCCCTTTGGCTGCCTGGTCACCTGTACTCAGGAACCCTGCACGAGAGGGCACAGAAGAAAGGAGGTGTTAGTTTGGGTCTGTGCTTGTATCCATTAACATCATATAAACTGCATTTTTAATACAGGCACTGATTTTTGATAATTGGCTTACGGACAATTTATTTCTACAGGGATTTATTGGCAAATAAGCATGATGTCTTTTTATAACAACCAGCACTACATGATTTAAGTTGCAAATATACAAGTTGAAAGAAAATAAATTATTGATCTATAAAGGAAATACACAGGTAATGCACAGAAGTTGCAACAGCTATAACAAGCATCTCCGCAGAGCATACACAAATTTAATCCTTAATAATCTGGAACAATTGCAGAAGTGAAAGATAAGCGATGAAAGGTGATGAAAAAACGTTTTCCTTTTCGTTAGCATGACATTTGCTATATGATCAGAAGCCGTACCTGGGTTTTAATTTTAATCACATTTCATCTTAAGTGGATAAGACACATTGAAAAGTTACATTAACACTTATTTGTCAAAGAATTGACAGACACATGTTTTTAATATTCCCGGCATATGGAAAAAAAGGTTTTCATGAATTAACTGTCTAGAAAATAATGAAATGAAAATAGCACCACAGACACAGCAATTGATTTATTTGTTATTTCTTTTCTTTTCGATCCCCTTTATTTCATACAATTATTTAATAAAATGAAACAAACTAAATAATCAACTTTTGAACCTGCAGTACAGAAAACGAGGCAGATTTCTCCGCTGTGGAGGGAAAACCAACAAGCCTGACTGTTTAATCATTTCCTCCAATAAAACTAGAGTTATTGCCCCTTAGAGCCACTTAAAGTGTAGATACGCTAAATATAACAGAGACTCGTTTGGGAGAAAAGCATATTCAGCCCTGAACAGAGCTCAGAGAACATATGATAAGGAAGCATCATGAAAACAGCTCATGCTTTGGTTAGAGCAACATGGAATTTAGTTTGTTTTCTTAAAGCAAATAAATTAAAATTCAAAATTTAGTCAGTCTGGCCAAACAAATTAGATGCTTGAAGTTGCGTCAATATTTATTTTAGCCAAAAACTTGGAGCAAAGAATAAGAACGATCCCCCAACAGATCAGCTTCAGCCTTTCTTTTCCTACCCTTGCCTCGACCACATCTTTTATTTGATTAAAAAGTCATTTATAATTACAATCCCGCTCTAATGCCTGATGGATATGCTTACACAAAGACATAATGCTTCATGGTGTATTTTATCACCCTGCATAAATTTAATACTGTACACGTGAAACTCAGTTTCGACTGAAGGCCTTTTATGCTGTGATGACGCTGGATATGTTTAGTAATAACTGATGTCTCAGAGCGGGACATCTCACTGAATACGATAACACTGATCTTGGGATTAAACTAAAGCATACTATCCATACTTGCAATTTCTGCTCATATTTTGGTTTCGGTTATAATGACGGTTATAATAACACTAGAGTTGCATTACCTGAGATGCTGCAAGAATGAAACAGCAGTAAGACTACATGAAACACTTGAATCTGCTTTTGTTTTAGTAGCCAATGCACTTGTAATGAAATGTGAGTCACATGTTCTCCCCACACTGAACAGTAAAGCTGTGCACATCCAACTACAGACAGTAAGGAATATGGACACGTAAAAAGGAGAGATCGGCAGAATACTACAGCCAATGGCTCTGGACATGGCTCCACGATGCTAGGGACATGCACCCAGATCTGATCAACCTGTGGTGGGTCTGCCCTAGAAGAGGGTGTCTTATGCTTAAAAGGCCAAAACACCTGAAGATATGTCTCTAACATCTGCTGGTGGTCACTAACATCCACTAACATCAACTGGCGTTAGGCATTAATTAGTGCAGAGAACGTACAAGGGATATTCTCAATCTTGTTCAATGTTCTAAAGTGGGACAGTATTTAGTTTTAGAAAGCATAGAGGTAATGATGAGTGGCCACACAACAGATATTCAACCTCTTGTCCAATATATTGTCCTATCCAGTCAAGTTTTACCGATAGCCAAATCTACAAAAATAGCACCCGGGTTGTGACAAGAACTAGCTGCAACATGGTAACACAACAAGTTATACAAAGCAGATATTCTTTATTTCTTGAAATCTTTAGTTGTTTATACTCGTATAGATAATATGTTAGCAGGCATTACATGCCATTTTATGTCAGCTCTCGTAGTCACAGTTCACCAAGTTCCCTCTGTACGTCCCAACATCTGCCTTACTTTCAGCCCCACCTCTATCTACACCCCCCCTCCCTCAACCAGATACACCTCTCGATAACCCCTGGTCACTGTGGCTGCAAAGATCCACTGCTGGCGCGGTAAGAAAGAGCTGATGAGACAAGGTTTCTCAAGTATACCCACAGGAAAGCGCTGGTCTTTAAGAGCAATTTCATGTCCAGCAACCCACCCAACACCCCCACCCACCATCATCACTCCCGTCCTGGTCCTATGATTTCCATGCTAAAAGCTCTATTACCTGCTGCAGGCATCCAGGGAAACCCCCACACCCATCAGCCTCACCCATGAACTATCCCTCGCTCTCCACGCTTCCCCCCATGCTCACATACAGTATTTCCTACCCTGTCCTCTTTCATGTTCCTATTCTTACACCGGCTAAATGGCGGGCTCATTACCCGGTGTCAGTCAACACTGCTGTTCATTTCCACAGGGATGTATGCACGCATTATGTATGGAGTAAAGCCTCTGAGGAGCTTCATGCTCCTGCAATAAGCTGCAGTGAAGAACGATGCCACGACTGGTATTAATGTTCCCATCATGAACAAATAAAGGCCAGTGAGGAACACTGAGAGGCTGTGCAGTCTTTTTTTCACAGGAGCATCAGTGAAATACTGAGACATGTCATTCACCCCACTCTGCTGCTCTGAGTATGTGTGTGTGTGTGTTTAATAAATACGGTTCTGGCACTTATTATTTCAAATGCCCTCTACTTTGCCATTATTGTATTATTTCACTGCTCAGCACTTCCTGCTTCAGATATTTCAGATTAAAAGTCTGACAGGCTTCTGGGTGGCTGGGAAGCTCGGAGGCTTTTAATGTGAAAGACTGAGCCGAAAGAGGGTTAAGTTGGCTTTCAGTCAAGGGAGTCAAGGGAGAGTTAGATGCTGTGGAAATGAATCAATATGTCAATATCGATATGGAAAAGTTTGCAGCAGCACTAAACAGCATTAACAGAAGATGACATTAGAAGCATCTTTACATAGAAGAGCTCTGTTATAGAGTTTTAAATATTATAAAATTATAATGTGTCATTTTAAACACGATGAAGTCATAGCCCAACAATTCCAGGATAATACATGTCAACATCTGCTGAATGCGTTAGCATGACGTTTGTAATAGATGTTCATGTTCCCACCAAGATGAACCGTAATCACTGGCCGTCCCCTCACTTTTATTCTAAGACCATCCTTCTCTAAATTGGATTTTCACTCTCACCAGCCTGAGTTACATGTTGTGTTTAAAGCTAATTAGCATGGCTGTTCACAGTGTTCATGTGAAGAGGATAAGACAGTAGATCTGCTAAACACCAGCATGTTAGCACTGTCATTGTGAATATATCATTATGCACACAGCTGTAAAAGTCTCACAGAGCTGCTGCAAGTCTAATCCACTATGTATAAAGGATTCATATAAACTCACAGTGTATGGTGAACCAATGTGACCAATGTGTGTTAGACCCATTTTATGCAGATTCTCATGACAATAGCATGTGAATTTCAAATGCATTTGTATTGGATATGACATAATAATATGAATTAATGTGACTGTTATGAGACGTATATATGTGTGAGCATATATGATTGTGAATTAAATAACAATAGCGCATACATTGTGCATATGATTCATTGACAGTGTCAGACAGAGTCCTTTGTTGCACTTAATGCAACATATTAATGTGAATGTTTTTATTCAAGGTGGAAGGTACAATGTGTGTTTTAAAGAATTATGAAGAATACACATATTCAAATACAGCGGCACATGCGCTCGTCCATTTTTTCTATCATGATTTCACCAGTTCATAGGTAGCATCTGAAATCTCTCTCTCTCTCTCCTCTCCTCTCTCTCTCTCTCACAACCACACACGCACATGCACACACACACACACTAGTTCAATCACTTAACCTGAATATTTAGACCATCTCACAAACAAATACAGGACGCTTTGCCTCTGCACCCTCCCACTGACAACCGCAGACAGACACATTTGTCGGCTGACTGTTTAATTGAGTTCATTCATTTTCTGTTCCCTTTCCGCCGGCTTATTTATTTATTTGTGTGTTCCTTGATCAAAGCCTAATCTGGTGGAAGTAACAGCAGCCATCTACAAGAGAGATTTTAATTGATTCAATTTAGCTGCAGTGCAGGGATGGGCTGGCAATCACAAGGAGCGAGGCAGGAAGAATGATTAGTACGGCAACAGTGCTGGGGCAGCAGGGGAAGGACTCTCCCTCCCTCGCTGTCTCATGCACACACACACACACACACACACACACACACACACACACACACACACACACCCATAGGCAGGCATGCACACACAAGCTCACACAGATACAATGGGCTACAAGAGCTACAAATTCACCTGCACAGAAGCACATGTACACAATCACAAGGCCCTTTTGCATTTATATTTTTAACCCTGACTCTAATTTAAATCTTATCTTCATTCTGATCCCAACACTCAAACTGCTATGTACTAAAACTTCAAACAAGCATAACACTGTTGGAGCAACATAGCCACAATAGTTTTTTATTCCTGATATTATATATCTTGAAATAATATTTGCTCCTTAGAAGGAAGCAAAGGGGAGGTGGCCACATGATAAGCACATGTGCAGTAGTCGCAGGTTGAAATGGCCAAAACAAAAAAAACTACAGGCTACAGTTTTGAATTGATTTGCGCGCTCTCTCTCTCTCAGTTAAAGGCTCTTGCAGCTTTGGTATTTTAACAGTGAGGCACAGGAGATTTA